TATAGCCAAACCTCTACCCATTTCTTCTCTTTTGTATTTCCTCACTCCCTTTTCCTTCTCTGCCTTAAATCATACTCACAGGTATTGCTTAACTTAACCCTGATCTGGTGGTAATTTTAGAGTTTATTTTTAAAGTAATTAATATTTTCTAGAAAAACTGCAATTACACAAGTATTTGAATAAGTAGCTACCATATACCCAGCACTGCACTAAGCTGTGTACTGTCTGATTTAAGCAAATCTTATTTAACAAAAAGTCACAACACCCTCAAGGAGCTTACATTTGATGATGAAAACATGTACACATTAAAGTAAATAAAAATACAAAGTAAATACAAGCAAAGGGAGAATGAGGGCAGAATGAGAAAAGGCCACTCAAGTAGGGAAGTAGCATTTGAGCTAAACTTTAAATGGGGCAAAGGGGGGGGGGATTGCATTCCAGGGATAAGAATCAAAGAGATGGAATGTCAAAGTAAAGAAAAGGAAGGACAGTATTATAAGTAATGTAGTACTCTAAATTTACATATTAAAATAAAAATAAATTGACATTTAGTCCTTAAATTATCCAAATCATTCTAAAGACTTCATTACCTACTTTCACAAAAAACCCAGGCATGAACAGCTCACTTCGTCATCTAGGAATATTCTAACATCTAATACAGTTTGATAGAGATTAAAGAAAGTGGAAAAGGATGCTTATGTAAAAAAAGTTATAGTGGCAAAATGGAAACTAAGGGATTCCCCTTCTGTTGGGGAATGGCTAAACAAACAATGGTATATGAATGTTATATAATAGTATTAAAATATAACAAAAAATGACAAAAAGAACAATTTTAGAAAAAATTGGGAACATTTTATGAAACTACGCAGAGGAAAATGAGCATTCTGTTTAATAGGAAAGCTATGCTTTTACACCAAACCCATTACACATCCTGAATTGGGCATTCAAGACCCTAACTGAAAAAGTTAGGGTTGTGAAAGGCAAAGCTTTTTCTGTCTCTGGGGAAAGGCAAAGTGCACAGTACAGACACATCCCCCCCCACATCACCACTTCAACTATTCAACAAGTTTTCCATAGCTCCCACGTCACTCAAAGACCTAGCACGTTTCCCCCCTATAACATGAGTGCTCCCTACTCTTTCATCTTCAATCCCACCACCCCAATCTGCGAAACAAAGTGGGGTAAACTTCTCAACTCTTCCCTCCACCTTGCCCTGAACACTCTACCACTTAGGCTCAAAGGCCTTAGTTTTTATACATATGTAATATGAAGAGGCTAGACTATATAACTTCTAAAGAAATCCCTTCATCATCTCTCACAAAGGTGTTCCTTCTGGAAGGAATTTTCACTACTTAGGGTTTTGTAAAGGTTAGGTTTTTGGTCAGGATATAGTACAGCCCTGAAATCTATTATCTTGACAAGTTTTTGAATGAAAACATGAATTTTAACATGATTTGTTTGATCAATTTTCCTGAATTCTAAGGCTTCTGAACCAGTTCAACTGCTAAGAGCAACTACCTTGGACCTATGGGTCTACAAAAATTCCAGGTGTCAGCTGCTGTGTTAAGTCAGAAGGCCTCAGTCCAAGCTCCAGCCAAAACTATTTGTGTAATCTTCTGGCAAATAATAAGTCATCTGTGACTAATATGTAGATGATCTTATACTACCTAGGTTCACAAAAGCTATTGTGAGGTTTAGATATTAGTGTCAGGCACATAAATAATCCATCTGCACTGTAACTCTCAATATGCTAGATTATGTTCAATCTAAATGAGTGAATGCCCACATTTTGACCGCAGACAATTAAAACAAGTCTAAGATAAATGAGAAATGGTGCTTAGCACTCAGAATAAAATTAGAATAAAATGTTTAAATCATTTTAACTAAAATCCTCTCCCTCAAGCCAGAAAGCTTAGCTTTAAGAAAGCTTTCAGCCAAGAAAAGGACTTGTTTGTCCTTTTGGGGACATCTGAAGTGGCCCCCACTAATTAAATGTGAATAATTAAAGTCTTAAGTGTATTCATGGCAAATCTTTACCCTAGTGTTACTCTAATTGGAAGCTCCAAAACATCACATAACCAAATACTTGACTTCCTACCATCTCCCCCACAACTTCTTGCTTGTTCAAGTATGGATTTTATTTATTGCTATGGTTTTATAATAAAGAATATTTTTAATGTGGAATCTCAAAATGGTAACAATGAATCAATTTGCAATAATTAAAATATGAAAACCTAACAATAACCTCAAAGCTTTTGGACCATATTCTTAAAATTCAATGGCCCAAGTTCAGGCACTTAATTATGTGTAATTATATAATATATAACAGTAATTAGTAATCAACCCCTCTTAACTAAGATTCTATTACAGTCCAATTTAAATTCAAAATTGTTTTGAAACACACTGACATACTTTGTATTTAGAAATGTAAAAAACAATTTGAGGACACTTGAAAGAGATTTCTACAATTTAGTAGTCAATTTAAGATTCCACCTTCAAAATGGAAAACACCTTTTCAGATTTCCTAAGATGTCTATCTATAAACCATAAAAACCAGAATATTGATGAATACTTTGCATATATCCTCCATTTTAAAGAATGCACTGGGAACTTCTGAATTATTCACCTTAAATTCTTTCATTTTTTAATACTACTGTTGTGAGGTAACTGGAAAAAGCACTGGACCACAAACATGGGACCTGATGGTCTGGTACTGGTTACTGATTAATGGTGGTTTTTTTAAAATATTCAAATTACAAGATCAAATGTAACTATATCTTTGAGAATAACAGTAAGAGCACTCCACAGACACAATGTTGATAAAGATAGAAAAGTTAGTGTCCTGTAATATAAATTTAGAAGAATCCTAACACTAGCTACCTAAAGATAGAACCGTAATTCTTTCGTGAACCTCATTTTTATAGCCATGGGCATCTATATACAAATAAAAGCATTACAAAAATTCAAACCCATGATTTTGCAACATCACAATAGTAATTATAAGAGGTATGTTAGTACAGTGGAAAGAGCACTTGTAACTGGACTCAGGAAAGCATGTTTCAATGCTCAGCTCTTATTTAGCTGTGTGAATTATACCTTCGCTAACTTTTTGAATCTCAATTTCTTCATCTGTAAAATGAGGATAAAGGTAATGGTATCATGCTTTTTCTTTTGAAATTAATATTTCCATTTTTTTTCAACTGCTAAGTCTACTCCCCCTTGAACTTATATACCCAGGATGAATTACTAACAGCCATTAGCAAGAGGCACTACAACACACTAAGCAAGAAAGATTTAATAATAATAACTACCAAAAATTAAGAGTATGCTCACCATGGCACCTGCCATCTGAAATGTGTAATTTATCATAAACCTAGAGTCATCCACTGAATATTTTTAAGTACCGAAATAACTTTTAATATAACATAATACAGTTACCTCCAGATCTGTGAGATGATACACAATAATACCCTTATCAACTCAAGCCACTAATCTCATAATCATTTTTAAATATTCCAAGTTGAGCTGAAAATTAACTTGTCCAATAGAAACAATCTGCCTCAGACCCAAACAACAAAACAGCCGCCTAGGTGTCTTAGCACAGTGCCTCAAACACAGTAGGCATTTAATAAATGTTTATTGATTGTCTTCATACCACCTAGATTAAGAGTCGCCTCTAAGAAAACGTTCCACATCACGAACACTGGCAGCGTACACTACCAGCTGCTGGTCCTAGGCCCAGCCTTTGTCTGGAAACCAGAAAGCCTTATCATCCTTTTATAGACTAATCCAGATTAAAAGCATTTAGATTGAGATATTTTTTTTTTTACCCTTTACTCAATAAGACCGCTCTAGGTTAAATTAAGGACTTCCTTCACGACGCGACAATAAAAAAATTCAACCAGCTTTTCACTTCGCGGCCATTTCAATCGCAAGAGATAAGGGTCAAAAAAACCATTTAGCGAGATGCAGAGAAAGGAGGCGGCCAGAAGTCTAAGGGGGCGCTGTAAACCGCAGGAAAGGGGAGTGAGAGCCACCTGGAAGGGAGGGGGAGCAAGAACGAGGAGAGGAGAGAGGTGGGAGGGTGGGAACCGCGAGGGGAGGGACGGAGAGTGGGAGGGTTGGAGCCGCGAGGGGAAGGGCAGTGGGAGAGAGGGAGTGGGAGCCGCGAAGGGAGGGGGAAGGGAGCCCGAGGGAGGGGAGGGAGCCGCGAGGGAGGAGAGGGAGCCCGAGGGAGGGAGTGGAGCGGAGCGAGGAGGAACGCGGGAGCGGGAGTCGGGAAGGGGGAGTGGGGAAGAAGCCTGCTTAAATCACTCAGATACCAGAAAACCTTTTCTTTTTTGGCTGCCATTTTCTTTCGCAAAAGGAGAGGGAAACACACCCTTTGCCGACATGGAGGGCTAATTGAGCTGGGGAAGAGGGAGCCAAAAAAGAAGCGGTAGCGATCGAAGCCGCCAACACTGTTCTCATGCTCGCTTGCTCGCGCGCGGGCGAACACGCGTACACATATACACAGACACATACATACATACACACACATCATGCGCAGTTCTCGTCTCTCCTCTCCTACCCGCCAAAACACGGACCGGGGGCCCCGTGAGTCCATCTGCCCCTCCCCTCCGCGGCGCCCCGCGTGTAAGTAACGGGTTTAGCTTCCCGTACCCGCCCACAACCAAGAAAGGAAGGAATAAGACGATTCGGCTAGCCGCCATTCCCCCTTCCGATGAACCTCACAGGCGAAGGCTGAAAAAACATCCTCCGTACCCGGACCCTAGCCCGGCCCGCCCTCACCTCAGCCGCCTGAAGAGACTAGCTCTGCTGCCACTGCGTTCCCAACATGGCGGCGGGCAAGCGAGCGGCTCACATACGCAGCGCGGAGGAAGGGAGGGAAGGCGCGAGGCTGCCTGCGCCCCCCCCACCGTCCCCGCCCCCGCCCGCCGGAGCCCCGATTCTCCCTTAAACCAGGTCCCCGGCATGGGAGGCGCGGGGCCCCCACTCACCCGATCCTCACCCGTTTCACTGCTACCTCAGGGAAGGGGAGGAGGAGGAAGAACGACGACACCTCTCTTCGAGCGGGACGCGAAACCTCCCACAATCCCCCGCAGCAACGGCGGTGTGGCGACGGGCGGACAGCAGGAGTAGCAAAAGAGCGATTCCACTCTCGCGAGAACCGGCCCCCAAGCGCGCGCCCGTCTGGCCCCACCTCCGCGTCTACAGCCCAGCGCGCGCCAGCTCCTTCCCTACCTCTTCAAGCCTATATTCTAAAGCGTGGGCTCGCACACTGGGGCCGCTTTCAGCAGAGCCGCGCCTCCGCCTAGCCAAGGAACGCTCATGCGCGATTCTCCCTTCCGCTCAGCTCTGTGCCGCCCTTCCCCCACCTTCACTGCCCCTGCTCCACCGTGAAGTGGGGGAAGGGAATAGAGGCCTTGCGGCCTAGAGGCCTAGCGACCTGGGAGAGTCTTGTTACGTAGCCAGCACGTACGTGCTCGGGATACTGGCTGTTAAAGTTAGAGGCCTCGAGGCCGTTTCCTTTGTTTGCCCAGCTTGAGGATGGATCGGGCAAGCAGACACCCCTTGGTTTATTTTTTACCTCAGGAATTTGGGGAAGAAGGCGCAATAAAGGATGGAGGGGCTCAACCGGGCCCACCCCTGTCACTCGATTTTGGCTAAGTGGCGAATGCAGGCCCGAGGTCCCCGTCACCCCGCCCTCCTCAATATCCTGCCCCCGGGGGGACTGCTGCGGGCTGCCGGCTCCCCGGGGAAGGCCCTGGGCCTTTCCCCTTTATCACGTGCGCACATTTTCTCCTGGCCCTGCTCTGGATTCTTCACAGGTGGCCGAGGTCCAACTGTCTTTCTCTGGTAGCACGATTGCATTTTACCTGCGTACTCCCTCTTCCCTCCCCGCCCCCTTCTTTCCAGAAGGAAGCGTGTGTGTGTGTGTGTGTGTGTGAGTGTGTGTGTGTGTGTGTGTGTGTGTGTGTGTGTGTGTGTGTGTGTGTGCAGACTTCTGATTTTTATTGATGTGAGGAAAACCCCTTCGATCATGCATCTTGGCAACTATTCTGCAACTTAAGAATCCTGAAGACAGTGGCCCGGGGCATTCTCTGAGACGTGAAGTGTTTTTCCAGGGTCACACGGCCTCTGTGTGTAAGGTGGGACCTGAATTCAGGTCTTCCTGACCACAATAGCCACCCTCCAACTGTGCAGTCCTTCCTCTTGACTTGCAAGCCATAGATGCTTAATAAAAATTTATCCTATTCAGTGGAATTGAACTAAAAGCAATACATATATGTCCTAGCCCAAGAATTGTGTAGTCATAGGATTATGGAGTATTAGAAATGGGAGTAAATTTAGAGGTCATCTAAGTCAAACCTCACTAGTTTTCCAACTGGAAGAAAAGGCACAGAGAAGTTCATTGACATATAAGAGTAGATATTCAGAGTTAGAAGGGTCTTCAGATACTGTTATAACCCACTCATTATACTGATGAGGAAACTGAGGTACAGAAAGGTGAAATCAGGGTCACTGTAAGGACCTCAGTAGCTTCCCTGTGCCACTAATAAAGCCCAAGAGGAGCTCAAATATTCTAAATCACCCTGACAAAGTAAGGCTTGTAGAAATTATAAGGGCCAAAAAAACCTTTTCCCAACAGAGGGGAGAGTACTTTAGACTAAATTACCCCCTACTGTTAAGTAACAAGCTTAGTTTAGATTCTGCTCCCCACAATGGCTCTTTGGTTCTCAGGTTGCAAAAGTTGCAAGTTCAGACAGGAGTTGTCTCCTCATTTTTTTTCTAGTGTAAATGAAGTGGCTGTTATCCTCTGCCAGTTACAGTTTATCTTTTTGTAGGCAAATTATGACAACATATCAGATTTCAATCCCCAGTCATACCTACCTGTGTTCTTGTTTGAATGCTTTGGTCAAAGGATGTGAACAGCCAATTTTCAGAGAAAGAAATCAAAACTATCAAGTCATATTAAAAAATATTCTAAATCTCTATTAATTAGAGAAATGCAAATTAAAACAATTCTGAGGTACCACCTCACACTCATTACATTGCCTACCGTGATAGAAAAGGAAAATTATAAATATTTGAAGGCATATGGAAAAATAAGGTCACTAATGCCAAAGAACTATAAAACTGCTTACCCTTTGACCCAGCAATACTACTACATGGTCTGTATCCCAAAGAAATCAAAGAAGGGGAAAAAAAGACCCATATGTACAAAAATATTTATTGCAGCTCTTTTTGTGGTGGCAAAGAATTGGAAATTGACAGGATGTCCATCAATTGGGGAGCAGATGAGCAAATTGTGGCGTATGCTTGTGATGTGGTAGAGAACAAAACCCAGAAATTAAATAATTTAGAAAGAAGTTTACTGAGTCATTCCGCAGAGGGGATGACAGAGGACAGAGCCAAGAAAGGGGAGGTCCATTGCCCTTCCCCACAGTGTCAATAAGTTACATATTATATAGGGTTTAAACAAAAGAACAAGTAATTAGTAGCTGATTGGCCAGCATAAAGGCAATTTCCAGATAAAATATGTGGGTCCCTTGATGTGTATAGCAGGAGAAAATTCCTTACATTAATCTTCATATCTGACTGGGTTTTTGGTCAGTATAACCTAAGTCTTGAGTTAAGCGTTAAACAAATCTGGTCTCTAAGCAACAAGTCCATTTCTCAGCTGTGAAGGGCTAAGTTTGAACAATGTAATAAAGTTTCCCCACAATTGTTATGGAATACTATAGAGCTGTAAGAAATGACAAAGGAGACAATTTCATAAAAAGCTGGAGAGACTTATATAAACTAATACTAAGGGAAATGAGCAGAACCAGGAGAACATTGTATGTAGTAACAGCAATATTGTAATGATAGTCAACTGTGAGATAGTTAAAATCAATACAGTGATCCGCATCAGTATCAAAGGACTCCTGATGAAAAATGTCGTCTACCTCTAGAGAGAAAAATTGATGAACTCAGTGCAGAATGAAACTTTTTTCACTTTTAAATTTTTCTTGCTTTTTTTCTCAACATAGTTAATACAGAAATATGTTTTACATGACTTCATATGTATGTATGATGTATATTATATTGCTTACCTTCTCAATGGGTGGAGAGGGGCTGGAGGCAGAAAGAGAATTTGGAACTGCACTTAACCCCAATTGCTTCACCCCCCCAAAAAAAAAGAAAGAAAAGAGAATTTGGAACTGAAATTTTTTTAAATGAATGTAAAAAAAAAGATTGCTTTCTGGTCACAAAGAAAAGTCAAGAACTTTTCAAAGCAACATTTACTGACAGCCTATGAGTGTCCAACACTATGCTCTAATGGAGGACAACAGGATCTGGTTTATAAAAAAAAAATTAGAATACAGGTTGGCACAAAGTAAAAAGAGCTAAATTGAATATAATCCAAATCTAAAATCTGCCTATATGTAATAAATATCAGGAAGGGGAAAGAACAATGTTGGCTTTATCTGGGGCCTCAAGGAGAGTTACTGAAGATTGTTCAATGGGGGAAGTGCAGAGATAGGAGGAAGAATATATAGATTTGGAGTAGAAAGGGACATTAGACATCATTTAGCTCAATCTTCTCACCTTACAGATAAAGAAAATGATCCAGAGACATGAAATGACTTACTCAAATCACACATATAATAAGGTGATTTTTAAACATAGGTCCTCTGACTCCAATTCCAATTCTCCTTTTCTAGATGGTGTGGTCTCCGAACCAGGAGAGATCTGTGTCTGAATCCTCCTTCTAACCCTTTTTAGTTATGTGACCATGGGAAAGTCATTTAACTTCTCTAAGTCTGTTTGCTCAACTGTAAAATGAGGACAACAACATCTGAATTACCTCACAGGGCTTTTGGGGAGGTCAAATAAAATAATATAGAAAGTACTATAATATAAAATGTCAGTTATATATTTATACTATATTGAGAGGCTTATTACCAATAAGGTTTGGTAAAGAACTTTTTGACCATGGTAATAAAAAAAAGTCAACGTGGTCCTCAGTCCCCAGAAACCCCTTTTTGCTTTTGCAGTGATTGTGGAAAAGTGGCAGAACAAGGGCTAGAATATCCTGAAAACCATACAGTTTTTAGACCAACTATAAACATTAACTTAGCTGTCATTATTTTAAGTGGGAAATCCTTATCCAATAAGAAATAGATATACAATTCACTGAATCAAAGAATAAAGAAAATAATAAGTAATTATGTTAAAGAAAAGGATAACAATATGACAATATAATAAAATTTTGAGATACAGATAAAGCAATACTTCTGGGAAATTTTATACCTTTAAACACCCTAATCAATCAACAAGTATTTATTGTCTACTGAAAGACAGGCACTGGGCTAGGAATTGGGAATATAAAGACAAACATGAAATAATTCCTACCTTCAATGAGTTTACATTCTGTCAGAAGGAGACATGTTCACATATAAATATAAATAAAATAGATTCAAATACTCAAAAGGATCTGTGATTTCATTGATTCTGAAGTTCCTTCTGGTAATGCAGATAGCAACAACCAATCTATGGCTGCCCATCCTGCTTAACTCTTTTTCTAGTGCAACTCTTTTTCCCATCTTCCCATAAATTCACCAGAAGTAGTCTACCTAATATGCTGATGCTTTCTGTAGCAGAAGAAATATCCTTTTCTTTTCATTTAAGATTTAAAAAAAATTTTCAGTATTAAATTCTTTCCCTCCCTTCACCCCTCCCTCACCCATTGAGAAGGCAAGAACTTTGATACTTATTATACATATGAAGAAAAACATATTTCCACATTAGCATGTTCTGAGAAAAAAAGTTTAAAAAAAGCAAGAAAAATAAAGAGAAAAAATAATGCTTTAATCTACACTCTGAGTTCATCAGCTCTCTATCTCAAGGTGGATAGCATTTTTCATCATGAATCCTTTGAAACTTGTGGATCCTTATATTGATCAGAGTAGCTAAGTCTTTCACAGTTTGTTATCATTATAATGTTGCTGTTACTATGTACGTTATTCTCCTGGTTCTGCTCGATTCACTAGGTCTTCCCAGGTTTTTCTGAAACCTTCCCTTGTAATTTCTTGTAATACAA